AACTAGACGCTTGTAAAGCGTGATGCGGGCTAGCTTAGCAAAAGATTTTCAATACAAGATAAAATTGTATCTCCAATGAATATTGTGACTATGACGTAACTATATATGAAAGTAAAATATGCCGTAGAATACCTTAGTTTTCTTTGCAGTTCAATTCTTATCGTGCACCGCAATATTCTTTTCTGGCAACTAATCGTTAACCTTCACTGTCTGCTATAATCTTATCATATATCGACTATCAACCATAATCTTTTTGCTATAGTGATTGTCCTACATTTGCAATGTATTTTGTAATAATATTTATGGGAGCTCTTTACCTCTTGGTTAGCGATATCACATTATTTATTTACATAGCAATGCATTTTAGATGGCATGTGTGCATTCTTTAAATTTTGTTTTTATTAGCCTTTCTTTCGTACAAAAGAAATCTAAAAATTGAAGCAAAACAAAGTTCAATTTCAAAACTTGTACTTTGTCATTTTTAACTTTTAAGAAACCCGATGATATTAAAGCAATTTCTTTGAATTTGAACAATAAAAACATTATCATTTAAACAGAAAAATACCTTTTGCTGTCTATAAATGTGGAAAAAAGCCAGTATTTGAGCTGATTTCATGTTGAATTGAAGCTGTACTGAATAATCATCGAGCTGGACTGGTGAGGAAGGCGAGACTATTTTCGATGCAAAATCGTCTTAAAATGATAACTAGCAAGCTTGAAACTTCACAAATGTAAAATCCTAGTTCAATTCTTCAATGAGAAAGCTTTTGGTATTTCTTGTTGATAGTTTTTGAGTACTTTTTCTCTGTTATCGGCGAAGTACCCGCCATTTTGGATTCTTGAGAAAATTTTCAGTTCGAGAGAGACTGCAAACTAATGGATATGATAGATATGGCTTCCTGTGGTTCGAGAGAGACTGGAAACTGCGACACGACAGATTGGAGAAAAGGTAAAACTATAGCTGGCTAGCACAGCTAGCCCGCTAATTAAGACATATTTTAAAAAATATTTTAGAAGTTAAAGCTTATGTCTCGAAAACCTTTTTAAAGGAAAGACATGTAAGAAGAGCATGCATGAAACACTGAGATTTTTTCAGTTTAGATTTCTATTATGGATAGTGAATAAAACATCGCGAGTGAGCTGGCGGAAAATATAGCTTGCAAGATATAAGAATCAATTGTTCCAATTTCCTGATATCTCAGTCATGGAAATTACTGTAACAAAAATGTAGTTAATGATTAAAAGCTGTCACTGGAAGTAGTGAACCGTAGATTTACTGTATCAGGCACCTGATCTTATTCATTACTTTTGTAGCTAGTCTGTTTACAGGAGGATCGACCAACGGAGGTTAGTTATACGTTTTGTTTTTTTAAATTTTGTATTCTGTGAAAAAATAACTGAATGTAATGTTTCCTTGTCTTGGTAAACTCAGGCTGATTCTTTGATGTCTCAATAATCAGGGTCAATAACCCACTCATGTTGATTACATTTTATTCTCGAGCTAACTGGTAAGTTTTTCATCGCCTTTGCATTGTTACCTTTCTAGTCTAATCAAACTATAGATCGCTAAAGAGAATATTCTACCTGATGTGATTCAAAACAATAATCAACAATCCTCCGTCAGGCTGACTAACATTTAGA